CGTTTCGAAAGCGACATACCATGGTCCCATCATCTGCACCCCCAATCACCATTGTACCCGAGTCTACCATGGTGCCACAGTCATAGTTGTTTTGAACCTGTTCAATACATCACATATACGTAATACAGATTAAGTTTTTACTAATTGTCCGATAAAGCGCTACATGGTGACGCGAGTGCAAACTTCGAAATCGCATTTCATGTGCAGTGATGTACAATTAGCATGTGTAAATTAGTATGTGTAAAACATGTGTGAATTTGTAACATGCATGATTGCCATTGTCAGCGTATCTGGTTGGACTTATCGGTGCTCTGTGAGCATACATAGCTGTATGCACAGGGATGCTGCATTCACTACCTTTGAACACAGTACCGTTTAGGGTTTAGGGTTTTAACTCTACCCTGCCTCTGATATCAATCCAAATACGTCTACCTTGTGCTATTTAATACACGTGCTCGCATATGTCCTACATGCATTGACATACCATTGTACCGTTGTTGTTCATCGTTCCACATGCCAATGTATCCTGATCGCATTCTCCGATTTGCGTGGTGCCTGAAATCGGAACACAATAATTTCGAAACAACAAGGCATCAGGGTAAGTATTTTGGCACACAACTCTTATTCTGAACTCTCTCATTTTTTATTTAATCCCCACATATTTATACAAAGAGATTCCAATTTTGATATTAGATAGAACATTGTAGCTGACAAAAAGGTGTGTATGGGAGATGATTGGAGGCCCCCCAATGTCTGCTACTAGATAGAATATGATAGTTAAAACATAGGTAGGTATGATCGAGAGTTGGCTACTAGATATAAATATAGTAGTAACATGAAGCCGGATGCAGTCGATTGAACAAGAGTATGGCATAGCCCATCATCGTCTGTGATATAATCTACACTCACATGTAAGACCATACAGATGCAGCAATCGCTGCAAATACAGTACTGTACATCTAGACAAGCCGCACCCGCAAATCTCGGGTACGCGTGTGACTAGGAAATTACATAGTTGTACTGTGCGTACGGCCTTTGCAGATGTGCAAAACGTGATCACCTGCGTATTTGAACTATAGAACGTTGATAACAGTACGTGAAGCGAATACACCAATAATAGCCAAGTTATTCTACAGCTATGTTTATGTACATCAAGCTCCACTTGTCGTTAGCCATACCTTGAGCCGCTACCATAGTGGATGCACTAAACGTGCCAGTGTCACTGCCTGACGCCAGACCTTGTTCCTGCCTCTCAGCCATCCGCACGAATGTGTTGTCGATGAGCGTATTGAGGGTCTTTTTTCCCCCTTTTCGGTGGAGCATGTCCTTTTTGACTATAAACGGGTGCTGTGTAGTGTGTGCGTGAGTTGGTGTGTTGTCGATGAGCGTATTGAGGGTCTTCTTGTCCCCATTTCGGTGGAGCATGTCCTCTTTGACTATGAATGGGTGCTGTACAACGTGTCCGTGGTTTGTGTTCATATAACCCTAGACCCCAAACTCCAAAACCCCTAAACCCCTAAACCTCTAGCCCCTCTATAAAGAGTGGGTGTCCTGTAGCCCCGTCTCCAGTCCACTCCTGTATGTATGTATACGTCTATGCACATACATGTATGAGTGCGCATATGCGTGATCAATAGGATCTTGTGTGCGCTGATTTGGTCTATGGCATTTGGCTCGGTGGTTATTGAGCGCACACGAAGAACTGACTACATAGCTTGAGCGGTGTTACTAAAAACTGTAGTTTATGCAATTATTGTCTTTTAGCCGGAACACAAACCCCTGCGTACCTGCAATAGCTCTGTTACGGTAGGGCGTGCATTCGGATCTCGTTGTAAGCACTGTGCGATGAAGTCCACAAACGACACCGAGAAATCTGGAGAGTAATTTTTAATTGGGGATGTACGAGACTGAGTATGCACCTTGAGCATGGTATAATTCTCGCAAAGAAGCACGAAGTTTTGTACGAATAGACGCACATGGGTGTGTTTGGGGGTAAGAGTGAAGGTGGGTGGAGGTAAGGCTGCAGGCACAGAGTGTGTGTCTGGATTAGCCATTGTATGGATTGCTCGTTGTGGCTTGCGAGGCAGTAAAGATAGGCTGTACCCCATTGCATGCGAGTGGTTTGTGGTTTGCCAATAAGAGCACGACTGTCCTAAAGACAGTTTGACATATCACTATTATAACAGGATCCGAGTTTCTACCCGCCCACATTAAGTTAAAACCACTTATATTTGCCTTGTATCATTGTTCCCCAGGGATGATACGCTGGTGTATTATGCCATCACTAGAACCATCTCCGTTTGATTTCAAATAAAGACGGTGAATGGTCCAACCTTTCAGCGCATTGGTCATCCGTATCTATCGTAATGTGAACCGTGTGCAGTTTGTTGTGCCTATCTTCCCATTCAAGACATTGTTGTCCGTGAGTTATATGCATATACACTTGCATGCATACGCATACGAAGCTCATCTGCCTCTCTAGCTAAAGGTGGAGTGAGTATCATAAACTAAGCCACACTCTGCAAAACTTCACATGTACAGATTGTGCGCTATTGCTAAAGATGCTGTGTGCTATATGTACTGACGGAGTGCGTCCATAGTATACTCCACATGCACTTCAGCGTTGCCATATGCTGCGATCATTGTACCTGACAACTCATCTAACTGGAACTTTTTCTTTTCTCGCTGTTCCGCTGGGGTTGTTTACACTTGACACACTATTAGCTTTGATTATTAGCTTTGACTATTAGTTTTGAAATAACTTGCCACGTAGGCTGTGATATATAGCGTGTACTGCTTTGGTCGCATGTACTGCAACCGTGCTATGGCTTTAACACTGCTGGCCGTAGGGTGTTTCTTTTATCAGCCACCACGGCTTCTGATATAACTGCTAGGTATAACTTGTTGTCCGTATTATACTCCACAAGCCCTTACAAACGCACATGGGTATCACGAGCGCAGAGATGTGACCCACGATTGGTGCAGCTCTACGGCACACTACCAGTTTTAAAAGCCAAATACTCGTAAACCAATAAACAGGTTGAGCTTCTTGTCTCAGCTGTAACGGGTCTGTCCATTACTACCAGTTCTAAATGCCAAATACTCGTAAACCAACTAAACAGGTTGAGCTTCTAATCTTCGGCTGTAACGAGTCTGTTCATTGGGGCGCTGCATCAGCTGTAAACTTGCCTGTCACTGAATGCCACGTGGGACGACCTCTAAAGATCATATACAGATATCTACCGAAATATCTACCGAGGGAACACATAGATATTCGAGTGGTGCTTGTATTCACTCTCCTGCAGTCCTCGATATATCACACGCTTACTAAGATACTACAGGCCTAAGAACCGAGCTCTAAACATAGTCTTCTGCACATAGGGGAGGACATCCAGCCTAAACCCCTAAAACCCTAAACCCCTATTACATTGGGGGGGACATCCAGTGTCTAACACCTCACATACCTGCAGTGCACTTCAGCGTTGGTGGGGGATTGACTGGGATCATAAAGATCGCACGCATGGCATGGAACTGTGACAACGGTGGGACTCCATCGGCCATCTCGATGGCCGTGATGCCCAAGCTCCAGATGTCTGCTTTAATATCATGACCAACCTATGTTTCGAAGGTGTGTGAAATTGAGTATATACTCATCACTGCAGAACAAGTGCGTACATTCGTGCTGTCTTGTGAATTAACGAAATAATGAATACTAAGGATATATATATATATATATATATATATATATATATGTCTGTATGTATGTACGTATATATATATATTAATATATATATATATATATATATATATATAGTATATATATTATTATTCATTTATACTCACCTATCCACCCACATATATCTTTATACTAAAATATTCAATTGTATACTATATACGCTATCTGGAGTATTTGTGCAAAATTCATGTCAAGAACATATACATCATTGACGTTCACGCTTATTTGTTTATCATGCAACGATCTGTAAGACAATCTTAGCTTACTCGATTTCATCGCGTATCAAACTCATATCGCTGTTATGATTGGGTTCCCCTGGTCATTCATCTCCGATTTTCTAACATAATGTCAGCTGCATCATGGGCGTCTACGCTTATTCTGTTGCCTTTCCATGAGCCGCGAGTGAGTCTGAATGTGCACGATTTGAGCATACAGCGCGGGCACGAGGCAAGGGGCATGCGGACGGAGAGTGAGAATGCTATATTTAAGATTGACCTGGAGGTGGATGTGACCGAATGTTTTAATTGGAACGTGAAAGAGGTAGGTATAGTTATGTATATATAGATTGTCCAAAATCTATTTAGTTATTTATGTTGTATTTAACGTTTTGGATAGATTGTCATCGAAGCCGTGCCTACTGTAATCTATATAGCACTATGCACGTGTTTCTTTTCCGCCTGATGATTTATCATACATCTACACGTCTCTATGCAGATATATCAAGATTCTGTGACACACATATATATAAATATATATATATATACATTTATATATGTATATATGTATATGTATATGTATATATATATATATATATATATACGGGCTTTTTCGCATTGAATATTTACCGGCAGTAAGAGAGCATTTGACGATAGTTTGTGGTGTATCGATTGCATTGTATTGAACTTAATCCCGCATGCAATTGAGTATGCCTCCAGACATTTTCAATTTAAATATATGTATTTCCAGAGCCTGTAGCTACATACGCACTTTTTATACAAAACTGAGTGTGCAAATATCATATGTACACTGGCCATGTAAGTATGCACACCATGTATGCAAAATCACGAAGAACAAGTCTTATTAATAGGTGCACAGTCAGTGTTCAACGTGTTCACATCTCGACATGACCATCGTAAAATGGTCTGCTGTACAGAAAAATTGACGAAATAGCACTTCTACATCCAACTAATCGGCTACCTTACACCAACTCTTTTCTCTTTTATAGGTCTTCTTGTATATGTACGCCGACTATGAGAGTAAACGGAATGTCCGTAACCAGGTATGATGATACATGCACCCTTCCTCCAACACACGCATATTATCAATATTAT